TGATAAAAAAAAAGTTTTTGCTATGCCAATTATTAAAATTATGAAATTTAAAAAAAATATTCATCTTTTTTAATCATTTACACCCATAAAATTATAAAAATTATTTTTTAAATTCAAAAAATGCATTTGAAAATGTGTTATTTGCGCCATAAATATTTTTATAACAAAACCCAAATTAATTTCTCATACTAATTAAAGACATGATTCATTTAGCCCTTATAACTTTTATGAATTTGGACATCTAAATTTTTCCATTTTTTTCATTTAAAAATGTGAAAAAATGCAAATTTTTAATCATATATTTATAATAATACAAATATTATTAAATTTTAGGGGTTAGATGTGTAAATCCAAAAGATATGTAGGGTGGATAAGTAAACTTCGGATTCCAAACTATTGCAGGAGTCGTGGCTGAGTAGGGTGAGGGGGAAGACGAAGGTGCTCCCACGGGGAGAATTCATGCCGGTCTACGTGGCGCTTGGAATGATCGTTGTATCGACGTCGCTGGGGGCTTACACGGCGCAGGAGCAGCTGAGCCACTCTCCCTCGGTCCGCCTGAGCAAGAAGAGGAGGGAGACGGTGCCAGAGGTGGAGGAGCCGGAGCGGGTGGCCGGAGAGGCGGAACGATATATCAAACGCTCTATTTTTCGGAAGGTGGCGAATATGCAGGATTTCGATGCTGTGCGGGCGGGGATTACGGATCCGATGAGGGGTGGTGGGGTTGGTCGCGTTGAGACGTTAAGGTCGGTGGGGGTGGAGCCTCGGCGGGAGGGATGAAGGGAGGGAAGGAGGGAAAAAAAATATTAGGTCAGGAGTTTTAATGCATTAAAACTTCAATGGTGAGGTATCACGTGTCAAGTGATCCTAAAAAAATATATATTACAGTGAAGTTACTTGATCACTTGACAAGTGACGTCCCACCATTGGAGTCCTAATGTATTAGAATTTCTAACCTAATATTTGTTTGGAAGGAGGTGGGTCGGGTGTAAATAATATAATAACAATGATATTTGCTTTTTTTTTTTTTTTTTTTTTTTTAATGGTGGAGTGAAATAGTGAGATGTTTCTTGTTTAAATATCAGTTTATATGGTCTCTCTCTCTCTAGAATTTAAAATTTTCACACACATATATCATATTTTTTATGCATGAGAAAATATATTTAAATTTATATCATATATTTGTATCTTATAGAACATAAGATCAACCTTGTATAGTAAGGTCATCCAATAGGTCTTGTCGGCAACTCGATGAATGGTAGAAGAATCAATCATATTACTCTCGTGAAGCCGCTCAACCACAACTTGAGTCATCCAAGATTGGTTGTTCGAGACGATCGGTCCAGAATCTTGTGACTAATAACACGAGGAGCCATTGAGCAGAGTGCAAGAAGATAATCAAAGAGAGCAAAAGAAAGAAAAAGAGTAGAGGAAGCGTTCCCGTATAACCCTATCCCATTGATATATAGAGAAATAGAGGAAGCACGACCATCACAAATGGTTAAACATGAAAGTAAATAGTTGTTTTTGTAACAAGTTATAAAGTGACATCACATCAATTAAGTAACTCAGTCAATCTTGCGCAGCCTGTGCTTGGAAAATTCGGGTTCTCTCTCTAACATCTTACATCTTCTAGCAAAGAGTCAAAAGAACACTTAATTTCGTCCAGTTGACAAGCTAGTGATCCAAAGATGCTTGGGGCCCATAATGTTCCCCGTATATCTCGAAAGGATTGAGCAATCGATCTTGCCATCCTCGCTTAAGATCCGGCCGTCCTCGCCCTGCGCTTGGTTTTCCATCAATGACACTCGATCAAACCCTCATCTAGGTCAATCGGAGTCGAAACATATGCACCAAGATTTTTCAATTCAAAAAAGATTTGAAAACATTAGACCCCACAAACATGACTGAAGTCCCTTGTCCCTAGGAGCTGATTCAACTTAGATATTATAAATGATGTGGTAGGCTCAGTAGGCGACGCAAGTGAAAGCGACAGAAGAATGCCTAAAGATATTTGAGTGACCTAGATCTTATGGTGGAATGGAAGGTTGAGCGGTCATATTGAAGGTTGCGTCAGTCGACCAAATGTTCCTCCATGGAGGATTGAATCAGATGACCCCATTTGACTCGATAGTGGGAGTGCAATTCTTCTTCTTCAAGACTACCTTTTTTTCTCTTCAACCCTGTAACCCGGTCCCATCCTTCGATTTTATGAAGACAACAGATCAGCCTCGCGGTAGGAATGTCAGCCTAGGATTTCAGAAGACATTCCATCACAATGCCGAAAAAACGAAAGCTGGTAAAGAAAGCATGAAGCAAATTAGTAATGTGAAGGAATACATTCATAATAATCAAATGTGCTTAATTCAAGGAAATTCAATCATTGAATTATTAATTAAAATTGAATATGATCTACATTTGCATTAAATTTTCTTATTCTTATCGCAGTTTCACTTTCAAAAAATAAAAAAAAAATTAGTGAATTAAAATATATACATTAAAAATATGTTTGCATTGATTTTAAAGAGATCTAACGATGTAGAAGTGAAAATTAAGAAAGAAGCGGATCTACTATAAGGAGATCGTGAGGCCCACATAACCGAACAAGCAAAGCCACTTAAGCCAAGCCAACTGGACAAAATTCAACTGAGGCACATCACAAGCAAGATGAAGATCGGGTTATCCAAGCACGAGCCATTCAGTCGAAAGCGAGACAAAAGAGCATCCGAGCCATCCATGGTAGGAATGCTGGCTCGATGCAATAGCCTATCTAGTAGGGGGAGCCGATCCAAAGAAGTTCCAATTCCGTATAGTATCTTTGACCATCCCGTGAAGATCCAGAAAGACCGAAAATAGTCAAACAGACGAGATCAACAAACCAAAACCTACTGACCGAGCCAACCCTATCTACTCGAAGTCGACTAAGCTTAGTCGGCTGAGCTAGAAGGCATCAAAACAATAAGCTTATGCTTATAAAATACTAGAAATACTCTAGTACATATCCCTTTTAAATGAAGGTAAATATGTAATATCACAATTGTACTATCCGATCAAAAAATAAGTTAATTATATTATGAAGAAGACACTGCTAAACATTATTCATTAAAACACCATTAAGACACTCAAATGTCCATCGAATCTCATTTGATTGAGAGAATCTATCATGATCGTCTCATCACAACACCTAAAAAATGAAGTCGGTAAGTAAAGGCGCAAAGTAAATTAGAAATGGGAAAGAGCCCCATCATGTCCTAATTATGAGAATCAAAAGCGCAAAAATCAAGGGATTTGAATCATTGAATTAATTAATAATTAAAATTGAATAAAGTCTATATTTGCATTAAATTCTCTTATCCTCATCATAGCGTCGCTTTTAAGAAATAATAAAATTAGTGAATTAAATATAATCACTAAAAATGTATCAACACTAATTTTAAAAAGACTAAAGGTCTAGAAGAGAAAATAGTAAAGAGATCATGATGCCCATCTAGCAGAACAAGCAAAGCCACACTAGCCAAGCCAACTAGGCCAAAATCAACCAAGCCGCACAAGCGGACGAGAAGACTACTGGGTGTTCCAAGCACAAGGCATCTGATAAAAAATGAGACAAAAGAGCATCCGATCCATCCATTACAGAAAAGGTGACTCGATGTGATACCCTATCTCATAGTGGTGCGAATCCAAAGACAAATCCAATTCTGCAAAGTATCTCCGAACATCCCTTGAAGACCCCAAAGATTTCTCACAAGGGTTCAAAGATAGTCAACCAAGCTAAATCAACCGATCAAGACCAACAGACCAAGCAGACCTCGTCGATAGACAATCTCAAATTCAACAATATGTTAAATCTATAACCTTAAAAAAGTGTGTTTAATTTCTTAAAAATGGATGAAAGTTGTATTATTTATGGATGTTAAAAATTTGAATGCAAAGCATGTAAATAGTAAAATTAAGTTTCTAGATATGTAAATATATAAAACTTGTGTGGTATGAATGCATGTAAATGCCCCTTTCACAAATTTTTTTTAAACTTTCTATTATTATTGAAATAAACATCTTGCATGATTTTTTGAAATTATAACACAGAATGATTTACAATGATTTTTAAAAAATGTTGAACTTGAGTAGAAAGATGAGAATTACCTTAAAAGAGACTTATTTTCATTCACAACAACCAAATCATAATACCCTCAATAACTACTCATCAAAGTTCCATACTTAGATTGTTCTCATTAGTTCATATTACCAATGGAGGATTGTACCTAAATACTGCATGACCAGATTCAAGTTTAAGGCTTGAAAGTGTACTGAGATGGACCATCAAATTAAATCCTACTCGAACTATATTGATGAGTTACGAGTCGATGAATACGAGTAGTTGGATACAAGTTACCGGTTCATCTATCACGATTAACCAATAATCATGAAGCTTGATGAAGGTTAATCACATACTCTTGAAGAGACCGATTTCGACTTATTGTCTAAGTGTGTGTTTGAGCAGCTTGTGCATTTCAGGAAAAACAGTTTATCCCGACTCGCGACCTGCGTTTAGTGTAAAAATAGAACCGTATTTTCGGATAAGTAGGCAAAACACGCGATTTAAACAGTACAACGACGTTTTCAAAAACGCCCCCACACTTATAAGCTTCTCCAAATGGGTCTAAGGATCTGTTTGGGGCAGCTGTTAATTATTTATCAGAACTGTTTATCAGAATAAACTGACTTGCTGTTTGAGACAGCTTATTCAGAACAATTTACTAGGAGCTGTTGTTGAATAAATGATTATTCTGCCTCTGTTTGGTTAAGCGGTTTGCAACAGAACTGTTTATGGAAAACAATAGATAAAACAGATGTCCCAAAACATTGATATTTATAAATCCAAAACCCATCTAAGCTCTGATAATGAATAACAATAAGAAAGATTTAGATGCCTACCACTCAAGTCTATTGATCATATGAAGCCAAATCTAAAGTAAAAAAAAATGAAAGGAAAAAAATCAGCTTTGTAATCTTACAGAAAAAGCAATTTTTTTGTATATATGCTTGAGAATCCTCCATAAAAAGACATGAAAAATTAATTTTTTCATGAAATATCTGCTATGTAATCAAGCTCCGCCTTGAATAATTTTTTTAGGTTTCCTCCATAAAAAACATGAAAAAACATTTTTTCTGTGAAGCTTGATCGCATGAAAGGAAAAAAAAATTTGAATCATAGAACTCGGAAAAAATTTTGAATCATTTCTTTACTGGAGACAGGAACCCTAAAATTGCGAATCACAGAACTCGGATGAGTATACCTCACTATCCACGAACTACAGAGAAGCGGGATCGAGGAACAGAGGAGACGGGAAAGCTTGATCGCACAATTGGGGCAACGACATAGGAGCGGGATTGAGGGACAAAGGAGACAAGATCGAAGGGCTGAGGGGTAATAAGCTCACCCTAAACGCAGAACACAGACCTCTCAGAGCGGTGAAAGATCCAAGGAGGAATAGTTAAATACCTTACGCACGGTAGCTGGCCGCTCGAGCGAACGCGTAAAACAAACGGGATCACGACGTTACGAAATCGTCGGACGCAGCATATAAGCTGCGCCAAACGACCCCTAAGTGTTATGCTTAATTGATGAAGACAATTTGCCTTGAAGTAGAATTGCTTAAGTGATGAATTTTCTAAAGACTCAATAGACAGACAAAGATACAACGATTTCTCCTACTCTCTTCGCTTAGAAATATTATTATGTGTGGCTGACTGAACGTCTGAAAGTTGCCATGCCATTGCGGCTCGCTTGGCAG